CCGGGAGAGGCCAAACCGAAGGAGCCAGGCCCTCGGGCTCCCTTCAGCGAGGTTGGGGGTTACGGCGAGCGGGGGGCCTCACGGTGCAGTTTGGGGCGCAGCGCAGAGGGAGAGCGGGAGAAGGGACGCGGTCTCCGCCGAGATGCCCGGAAGCCACACCACAGGAAGCACGTGGAGGGGTCCCCGGGAGCTGTGCGGGGAGGGGGACCCCAGCAGGAGCCCACTCGGGACAGCAGGTGCGAAAGGCGAGCCGCAATGTGGCCCGGGCACCGCTGGGCTCCCACCAAAGGCCGAGGCTTCCCGCGGCCACGAAGGCCACGCCAGGCCCAGCTCCCAGGAGCTCGGTTCTCGGGGTGTGAAGGGGGCTGGAGGGACAGACGGGCTGACAGACAGGTACAGAGTGAGATGACAGACAGACAGACACACACACACACGGAGAGAGGGAGGGGGCAGAGATACAGGGAGTAACGGGCGGACGGACACAGTAACGAGCAGGCAGTGGCCTCCCCGCGGCGGGCTCGGGAGCCACCCGAGTTGGGGACAACGTCGCACAAGGTGCAGCGCACGGTGGCTGAGGTCACACACCCCGAATCAGGGGCAGGCGAGGCGTGGAGAGGACCCACGGCGGGCTGCCACGCTCCCACGTGGGACTGGTACACAGGTGCCCGCTCGGTGTGGTTGGGTGAAGAGCCAGACAGTGCGTTTCTGTACAAATTTGTCCATTCTAGGATTTGTCTCACTGGTTCCGCCACCTGCCTCGCAAGCACAAGGACCCCAGTTCAATCCCCGGTACCCCCCCAAAAAAAGAAAAGAAAAAAGGAGGGCCAGGGATTTAGCTCAGTGGTTCCGCCGCCCGCCTCGGAAGGCCAAGGACCCCAGTTTGATGCCAAGGAAGGAAGGAAGGATGGAAGGAAGAAAAGAACCTAATATATTAAAAGTGGAGAAAAAATAGCTTAAAAAGGGGTGAGATCAAAATGTTTTCCTTGGCTCTGTAAAGGAAAGCAGCGGCGAGAAGCCCAAGGGAGGCGACTCTGCGAGTCTAAAACCCAGTTCACCAGGACAGCGTAGGAACTCGCACTGCTGCCGTCCCGAGGAGCGGGCTCCGCGCCCCAACCAGTGCCCCCTCCAGCCCTGCAAGCCCGGGTCCGGCCCACGC